TTCTACGATCAAAAGGTTTCCGTGTGATAGATTTTTTCATCATTAAGATTCAAACTTGATAACCCCTGATAAAAACTAAGAAATCCATGTATCTCAAAAAGATCATTAAATATCCAGAGCCAATTTTTTTGTGCAGATCAATTGATCTTTTTGGGTACTTTACTAGTTTTCATCAAGAGATTTAAATGAATGTTTAAGAAAACCCAAGATCAAACCCAAAGCTTTCTTCATATCAAGATGATCTTTATCAATCCCGCTCATAAGGGAAGACGTTTTACAAACCGTTGACAACCATCACCTGCTTATATCACACCCTAAGATCAATAGACAAGTTGATTACTAGTGAAGGGTGATTCAACTCATGCCAATCGATTAGATTTGAAACACATCGTTATGCTAGCTCATCACATGATTTGAAGAAGAACTTTAAAACGAATTTGGTCCTTAAAACTTATACGTTCAAGAATTGATCGAGCCATTTCTAAAAACAGATCAATCGATCAGGACTACCAACATTTTCTTCCATGAAAGTTTTCAAACCAGTCTCGATTCCGATTCATTCATCAAAGTCAATTCGATCGATCGAGTTTGTTGTGAAAGGATTCGTTTAAGTTTACCTTCTTGTAATGCATAAACAAGTTCACTTTCTTGCCAATTCGTCGGATTTTGATCAAGATTCGATTTAGGATTTAATGAGAGAGTATATTGAATCTCTAAAGCTGATAATGCACCTCCATAAGCTGAAGAAATACCTAAAGAAAATCAAACATCAAACATCAAAACCGATTCGATTCACCTTTTGGTTGAAGAACGTTGAGAGGAATGAAAAGACAGATGAAAAAGACTGAAGTGAAGTTGAATGAATCAAAGTTTGGGTTGAGATACCTGTATCGATTAATAAGATCTTTCCTTGACATCTACCCAAGATTCCTTTGAACTGAGGTGTATGACCCATGACTAATCTTTTCACCTTTAAGATCCGAATCGTTTCTTCAATCTGATCACAAATCAATTCTTCATTCTCTTCTAATGCATATGATCTTTCCCAAAGTGGACCATGAGAAGAATAAAATGATTTTTCTTCAAGAGGGGTGTTGATCGGTAATCCACCGTTGGGTTTTGGGTTTTGTAACGTTCGGTTTAAGAAGGACTGTCCGATCTCATTCATCTTGGTGATCCCTAATCTAGCGTAATCTGGTGTGATCCCACCATGAACGAAAGCTATGGCTGAGTTCATGAATGGGTTTTGATTATTGGATGTATCTTCAAACGTTTCAAAATATGATGAATGGTTTAAAGGAATGGTGTTCAGATTCGAATCGGTTAAAATCAAATATGGAACTCGAGCGGTAGTTTTATAATTCTCTAACCATGTCTTTCCTATCCAACCTTGAGATGAGATAAGTTTTCTTCGATTCTTTAGACCTCCAAAAGTTTGAATATCTTCTTCTGTTACATACCTCCAATCTCCTAATGCATTCATATACTATCAATTTGTGAAGAAGAAGAAGAAGAAAAATGAAAACTTATTGAAAACGTTAATTAAATGGTTTGATTAGAGGTGATGTTGTGATTTGAGAAGAGAAAGACTAACCTCATGATTTCCTAAAAGACTTACAACTGATCCTCCAGCAGATTTAGCTTCGATTCGAAGTCGATCCATTAACTAAGAAATTCAAAAATTCAAAAAAAATCAATCAAATTCAATCTCTTTTCAACATTTGACTTTTTCTTGAAAGAAAAATAATCATCATAATAATAATAATGATAAACTAAATGAGATTGATTTCAAAAAAGGAAAAAGTGTAAATTTAACTAACTTGGTAAAGTACAATCGTATCTTTACCTCTATCTACAATATCACCCGTTTGAACTAAAATCGTTTTTTTTTCCAATCCATTTGTTTTTCATATCAATCACTTCAGCTAATCTTAAAACTCGAATCGTATTAGGTAAATCTCCATGTAAATCTCCTATGGCGATGATTCTTTGTTTATATTTATTGATGATCGGATCACTTGATGGTTTGGGTTTAGATGGGTTTGAGTGCTTGGAATTGATGTATGGTTTCCATATGTATTGATATGTGATGATGATGGTGATGGTGATGATGATGAGTTTACTTGATCTTAACATCTTTGATTTGAACTGATTTGGTTCAATCTGCCTTTCCTGATCAAGTCTCGATGAGCGTATCACTATGGCTTTAAGGTGATCTTGAATATAAACCTCTTCAAACACATCACCATCGAAGGGCTTTAACAAGCTACCAGTTCAACTCAGCTCAGCCTTCAAGTAAATCAAACTTTGCTTGGGATCCTACACTTTTCAAAGAGTGATGGTCCTCAGCTTGAGGGTCAGTTTGAGAATAATTTTGAAATTAAAGAAAAAAACCTCAACTTCATCTAATAAGTCATACCCAATATGAACTTCAACTAAGATAAGTTTTTATTAATGTTAACTTTCAAAAGAGGTATTCTCTCATCATCACTTATTCATAATTCTTTTTGGTATAAAACTTGTTCATTTTATCAATTCAGTTTAATTCATCCAATTTCAAATCATTTCCACCAATTTATCTATTCATCTCAAAAAAAAAATCAATAAATTCAATCAAACCTTGGGTCTTATAAATTTTAGTTTTTTTTTTAAAACAAAATTAAATTAAATTCTCTATACAATTCCATTAAATATTTTCAATTCCAATCCAAAAAGAAACCCCATCAAACTTTTTCTTTTCTTTTCTCTTTCTTTTCTCCTTTCTTTTTTTCTTATCGCTTCATCATCTTTCTTTTGAAAAAAACCCCTTTCAAAAGAAAAAAAAAATCAAGTTTTTTTGGTTTTCTTTTTTTTGGTTTTTAATTCTTCACAAACCTTCTTTTTTTAGTTTTTTTCGTCTTGTCTTTTCTTCTCTTTTCTTTCTTCATTTCTTCATTCATCTTTTTTTTTCTTATCCAAAAGAAAACAAAAGAAAAAGAGAGAGAAAACAATTAAATAGAAAAAAAAGAACTGAGAAGAAAAAAAAAACTTATTTTTCTTGAATTGGGTTTCCTTCCTTCAAATTAAAAAGAATTCATCCGATTTTCTTTTTTTAATTGAATTTGATTTTTTTTAAAATGATTAATTTTCTATCCCACCACCACCTCCTACTCCTACTCCTCCTACTCCTCCTACTCCAGTTCCATTTAAATTGTCTCTTTTCCTATTCAATGATCTTTGTTGTTGAAGTCTAGAGGTCGTATTAGTTTGTGATGAGGGTGGATGAATTCCAGTGGAGATAGTTAATTTAGTTCCAACTCCATTAGTTAAACTATCTAAATTTAATTTATAAACTAAATTACAATTCAAAGGTAATTGTAAAACACTTTGAATGGCTAATCTGTTTTGACCATTCAAATCGAATGTCAATAAAAGAAATCAACACCATAAATCAATCACTTTTAAACTTGAGAAAGAATTAAGATCTGGTTTTTTTTGTTGGGAGGGGGGAGGGGGTAGGGAAAGTAAAAGACTCAACTTGATCTTTTTAGCTATTTTACCATCTCCAGCTAATTGATTATCTCCATTCTTATGCCAAACTGCTAACAAATCTTCATCTTTTCTAATACTCAACACCGCTCCACAAATCTCTTCTTCTTCATTCACCTTTTCGGTCTCCCCATTCGAAATCAATTTTTCAATTCCACCCCCAATCAAACTAAAGACTAATGATTCCCATAATCGATCGGATAATCCTTTACGTAATCGAATGGTCCATTTACCTCCTTTTACATTCTCTGGATCTTCCCAAACTGGTTTGATGGGGCTTTTGAATAAATGAAGATCTGAGATTGGACTTAAAGTTGAAGGTCTTTTGAGATGTAAGTAAAGTGGATAAAACGTTTCTACCTGGTTTTTCAATCAACCCAAGAACAAAAAAAGGTTTGGGTTTTTATTAACGTTTTTTATTTCATTTTGAGAATTGAGTGAAGTTTGATTTGAAGAACAGGATGACTTACTGAATCAAAGGATCCTAAACTTTTCATTGATTTACCAAACTCTTCTTCATTCATTTTCTTATTTGGAGATCTATTTAAGATCCAAAAGACCCATTGAGATCTTAGAGGATGTAAATTATCTTTGGATGATAAAGGTAAGGTTTGATCGATGGATTCGTCTGATGAAGATTTTAATGAATCTTTAGATTGGATAGGTAAAGAGGCTAAAGAGTTGAATGAACCTAATCTTCTTGTGATGGGTGGTGAATGATGTGTGGATTTCAGATTGTTATATGATTTTCTTTTGGGGTCTATGTTGGATTGGATTGGTTGAGTTTGATTCATTTGTGATTCGATGAGTCCGATTCTTCCGAAACCGATACCTGATTTATTGAAACTAGTGGGAGTAGAGCTTGAAGTTGAATGATTGATTCTTGAGTTGATGGTATGATGATGATTGTTGTTGGGTTTACGTGGTAAGTTTAATGATGAGTTGAGATGGTGAGTTGATGATGAAGTGGTGATGGAATTGTTTAAAGTAGAAGATGAAGAGAGTTGTAGTTTTGAAGTTGAGTTTGGATGAGTTGATGATGGAATTGATTTAGTGTTTTGAGTTTGATTGATTGATGGTTTGATTGATGATGGTGAAGATGTCATATTATGATATGTTTGAATTGATATCAGTTTTGATTTCTTGATTTGATGGTTTGTTTTGATGATGATGATGATGATGATGAATGGTAAAGGGTGATTTGATCGATTTGAATTTGTTTTTGTTTTGATTTTTTAATAAATTTTTCAATTTTTCAACTTTGCTTGATTCGTCATGTGACCCTTCGATTCGACTTAAAACCAACCTCAATCTTAATTTAAGTTTCAATCTTCTAAAATTTAAACTTAAGCTTCACTTAACTCATCACGATACATTACAGATCACTTCAACCCAACTCATCACTCAATCAATTCAAAATTCACAACATCAACCTACCAAGCACAACTCATCAGACAAGCAAAAACAAGCTCTGAACAGAGTGGGATTCGAACCCACGCCCGAAGACCGCCGGACTAACCGCACAACCTGCGGGAACTTCCTTAAGACGGCGCCTTAGACCACTCGGCCATCTGTCCAATTGGTGCTCAGGTGGCCCAATTTTGAATACATATATCTGCTACTTAGAGCTCGGGCGATCGAGTATAGGTATCTCAACAATTCAAGCTTGATAAAAAGGAAATGATGGGTATCCAAAGTGATTTGTTTGAGTTATTGGAGACTCTTCAAAACAAAATATAGAGTTTGATTAATCTCATTTTAGCTCAAACTAAAAAATCGTCTACAGAGTCTTAAAGGGCTGAAAAGATTGATCATATGAAGGAGTATGAAGATGTTGAGATCAAGTGAATGAACGATTGAATGATAAAACGTACTTGAAGAGTGACTTGGGTTAAAGAATTGAGGAATCGGAAGTGGAGAGAAATGAAGGTATTGTAGAAGATGGAAAAGTTCAAGCTCTAGAAATGAAACAATAGGTGTTCGGTAAGGTTTTTGTGTATGTCTGGTGATTTGAATAGGGATAGAGAACCATCACAAGAAGTACAAAGTTGCCTATGAGACTTTCAACTTTTAAGGATTGGTGAATGAGATTTGAGATTTCCTAGATTGACAAAGTCGAAGAAAAGATGTAGAATGTGAGATGTTCTGTGTTGTGAACATCAATAGACACTATTCAGATTAAAGCGGCTAAAGTGAGTCAATTACCATAAACAAATGTAGATGGATCCGAATAAGGTGATCAAAAGGGACATCAAAGAGAAGTGCAGGGCAGGTACAAAGAGATAAAAAAAATGTTACATGCGCCTTGAAGCTTTCACCTGAACTCACGATAAGATAAAAGTTGGAACCATCAACACATCGGATACCAAAATTGTTCAAGTCTTCTTAAACTTCAAGTATATCATAAAAACAGTGCTTTCGATGTTGATAACTCCTCAGCAAACCAAAGCCGCTCCTCAACACTCAACTCAATCAGTTACATCTTTGCCTCATACAAAACACAATGAAGAAAAAAATGAAAAACCCAGCTCATCAAATTTAAAAATTCAAAATTCAAAAGATTCAAAAGAAGAACTCATAAAAGAAAAAGAAGAAAATGAAATTAGAGAAAAGATTGAAAATAAGAAATCAGAATCAAATCATCACACTTTTAAATCCAATTTTGTAAATCAAGTTGGAAAAAATAAAGTTTTGATACCTAGAGAGTTTTGTATTTCTAATGATTATATTGTGATGAGGAATAGAGAAGTTGAAGGTACATTATAAAACTCAGTCTACTGATACAATTCCCTTTGATTGGTTTAATTTTTAATTTTATATTTTGAAAAGTGTGATTGACAAAAGTGAGATGAGGTGTTCAAAGCTTAAAATGGGTTTTTTTTGATCACTTTACGATCTTTACCTTCATTTATTATGATGGTTAAGATGGTTCTTGTTATTTTTCAGAATCAGAATCAGATCAACCTAAAACCAAACATAAATTCAGATTATTCTTTACAAAATAAATCAAAGTACTTGACCATCTAGCAAGACTACATTGCTGCAAGGGATTCTGGGTGCACCGAATGTAACAGAGTAGTTGTATATATACATTTATGTCAGAAATGCAGCAAAACTGTCTTACCTGGATCTCCATATCTATAAAGTACAAATGTGGTTATAATGCAGAGGTACAATCAAAACCAGATCAGGATGGCTGTATCAAGTGCAGCCTAGTTGTAACAAATTCCCTCTGATGATGAAATAAGTGAAGTAAAGCACATCATGAGAAAAACACACTTTTATGTGTGTTGACAAGGAACTCAAGACTTATAAACGAGCTTGAACTCACATATGTTGCTTCATACATCACCATGATCATAGTGATTGTCAGATCTGGTATAGATGGATGCAGTCTACAATCATGATATGCAAATACGGTTTCTGTCAGTTTCCAGAGAAGTTGACATAACATTTTTCAGAACACAGATACCTGAATTTTAGCAAGATACAAGACTCTGTTTCTCCAGATTTTTGCACATCCCCTCAAAAATATTTTTAGATCATGCTAAACTTCAGGTTCAAAACATGAGCTTCTGTTGAAGGTATCAATATTTTCAGGGGGGTGGCAAGAATTAAATGAGAAACCTGTGACGGCCAGGTTATTAGCTTTGTATAAAGCTAACACACTTGATCGAAGAAGAAAACAATCTGAGGAACGAAGATTGTTAAAAATAAAAAGATTTGAGTTCGATGAAGAAAAAGATATAAGGTGATAGAATAAAGAACCTTATATGAGAACCCAAATCATGACGTCATTACAAATTAGTGATGTAAGAAAAAGAAAAATATATAAAAATATATGCGCATGATAGAAGAGCGCTCATCATATCTCAATTGCAAGTATCTAGAGCATCAGAGTCCTGAAACCTGACAAAACTTGGGTCTTTGGCACTCTGAGAAATGTTTTGGCAATTTTTCTGAAACTTGACAGAACACATACAGGCAATCCAGAAAAGGTTGACCAATTTCGCAAGCAAAACTTGAGCAAATTGGCAGGGAATTTGTTGTAAGCTTTTTGAACTTGCTGTATTTGTATAGCACAGGTTTATGTATAACTAACAACGGTCGTTTATGGAAATATTACAATAGACAATAAGGGGTGTCAAATCGGGATTTTTACGACAAAAATTCATAAAAAAGTTCGCCGCAGTAGCGTAAACTTGACGTTGTAGAACTCCTACGCAGTGTAGCGTAGGCTGAGCCGGAGAGGGGATGAAGTACAACCAAAGAGGAAGGAAGTACAACAGATGCAGTTACGCTGCCCTCAACCTTTTTAAATCTCTAAGTTCAGAGCCAAAGTTGACAATTCTAAAACAAATTCTCCTGCTACACACAACCAATCACCTGTAATAACGTTGTCTTCCACTTTCTACTGATAAAATCAGTACCAAAAACTTGGTCCGAAACAAGCTCAAAACAAGTCTTCCAACTGTTTGAGTGGTCACCAAATCCTTTAAACACTTAAAAAAATGTCTAAACTAGGGTTAAAGAAAGTTGAAGCCAACACTACACAAGAATTAATTATGTAAGACAGTCCGAAACGTCTTTCGAAATGACCAAAACTGAGAATTTTTGAGATAAAAAGATAAAAAAATAAAATATAGAGATAGTTTGAAAGATAAGATGGGAAGTTGAATGAACCTCTATGGCCGTCTTTAACTATAAAAAAAATCCTACAAAACTTCTACTAAAAAAAACAACCACTCAAAATTCTCAAAAAAAGAAGAATTGATGCAGAAAATAAAAAAAAACAGCCCTTTCACAAGTGTCTTTTCACAGACACAAGTTTCACACACGAACAAAAATAAAAAAAATAAAAATCTCTAAAAAATATAACACTTTTACCTTATAAGGGTATAACACTCTTTTCCTTATAAAAAATCACTCGAAAAAGGCCTAAAGCCTTATAACACTTTAAAAAACTTATAAAAAAACTAACAGCTCAGCAAAACACTACAGAACACACGCAGACACTACACTAAAAACACGCACACACTACAGACGGACACTCTATAAGATAAGATAGATCCCCCTTTGCCTCATCACCCAAAAGACCCCCTTTATATCTTTTCCTTCCATCAAGTCATCCTCAAGATGATTTGATCCGCTTATTCAATTTTGGATCCATTTTTTTTTTCTTTATTATCACGTAAGTCCAATCTTTTTAATCTCCTCTCACCCTTCCTATTAGTTCCTCTGATCCTTTTACTGATCTACCTTGATCCTTTTTCTTTTATATATATATTAATTTTATTTTAAAATTATCATTCTTTTTAGTTCTTCTTTAATTAGATTGATCGATCCGTTAGTACGTTCATTTGTTTTCTTCTTTTTTTATATGTATTTAAATTTTTAAATTTTATAATTTAATTTTTTTTTTTAATTGAATTTGAGTCCAATCAATCAATTGGTCGTTTGATCACTTTCCCCATCCTCTGCTCCTTTCACCTCGATTCAAATTTCAAATTTTCTTTTCTTCAGTAGGTTCTTCTTTCAATTTGATTCTCTTTTGATACAATAACTGATGACATGATTCCCTTCCTTCTTCTTAATAGGTTCATTCAATTTTAGCTCGGTCTCTTACTTTTTAGATCAATTGATCTCAATCTTTTAACTTCAATTTTTAAAAATTTGTAAGTTTTTTTTTTATCTTCTTTCTTTCTTCTAATTCAAATTCAACTTTGATTTAGCTCGGTCTTGAAAGTCTCTAGATGTCTGAATTAATCAATCTTTAATTTTAACATTTGATTGTAAGTCCTTTTCTTTTCATCTTTCTTTTAAATTCAAGCTCATCTTTTGATTGTTTCTGTGTATTGATTGATAATTTGATTTTTAAATCCTTTCCTTCTTGATTCAATCGATTTGTTTTAGATCGCTCTGAGGTCTTCCTAGCTTTCTGGATCAGTTGATTTCCTTTCTAGCCCTCTGGATTGGTCCTTTTTTTTATCAATTTCAATTTTTAAACTTGAATCTGTAAGTCTTTCTGGTGTCTACTTGTTCTTTTGATTTGAATTTCTCTTCTTTGGATTCATTTCATATTACTAATTGACTACCTATTTCTTCTTTCATCTTAATGGTCCATTTTGATTTTCTTCTGTCTAGATTGATTGATCTAAACCAATTCCAATCAATTCCAAATTTCAAATGTAAGTTCATTTCTTATTTTAATTTCTTCTATCAATTGTTGTAATGATTTCTTTTTATTTAATTAACTGAGTTGACTTGTTAATTTGATTCTTTCTA